TCCTCCCCCTGCCCCCTCGTGCGCGCCGCCAGCTGCCGCCGCACAGGTGCGGGACGGCGGCCACCGCCGCTTCCCAGGCGCCGCGCGTCCCCCCCCGCCACTGATCGGGGGCGGCCTGGGCGGGGCGAGGACCACCCGGGGTCATCCCCGCGCCCGTGCGGGGGTCACGGCGGGGAGCTCTGGGCCGTGTTCTGTCTCCGGGGGCCCTGCCCAGGCCGTCTGGGACCGCGAGGACACGGCTCGGCATGGAAAGAGAGGCCCTGGGAGGAGGGTCGGGCATTGCGGGGGGACCTCGTATGGAAGAAGGGAAGACGTCGCATGTCTGGGGAAGGGGTTCACGGCCGGGGCCATGACATCTCCCAAGGTATCATGGCCCCCTCTTCTCCTTTCAGCACGTTCACTGGTCCCCCTCGTCCGTGCACGCCTCGGGCCATGCTTTGCGAACTCCCCTCGTGAACGCCCCAGGCCTGCCGAATAGGGTCGGAAGCTCGCTCCGCCTCGCCGACTGCATCGACGATGCGGCTCGATGTGGGGCCCGGCTTCCTCCACGCCGACGGCGCTGGTGCGCGCGGCGCGGTCTTCCGACCCCTTATGCAGAATTGTTTTATCTTATTGAAAGAATTGCCCCGACCGGGGCTGGCCAGAGGGGGTAGGCCGGATGCTGGCGACAAGGGGCCTTGCCAGGTTTCTCGTTGCAGGGAAGCTTGCGCAGTCGCGAAGTGCATGCGAAGCATAACCATGGGAAGCGAAAGAGCCGAATCTCTGTCCTGATTCTCCTCGAAATCCTAGGCTTTGTTTTCCTCCTCCTCCTCCTCCTCTTCATCATCCTCCTCTTTTATCGTCGCTCGTATTATCGTCAGGTTGCCGGACTGCGTTCGGCGATCGTCGTACAACCAGCGGTGTTGCTAGGATGCCAGGGAGCTCCGTCCAAGCGTGCGGGCGTCGCTTCCAGCACGCGCTGCAGTGCGAGCGTTTTCCTGTTGATGGGCGTTCCGCTACAAGGCCCGTGTCTATTTCCTCCCATGTCATTCCAGTGCCCAGTGCCGCTCCCGTGAATTTCGTGAATTTGCCGGCTTGTTTCCACTGCAGTTTACGCTGCCAGCGTTGTTTTCAGGACGCGCACGCCAAGCGTGCCAACTCGTTGGGATCGCGCATCAGTTTGTCAGCGCTGCCGGCAGGAAGTTCGTTCCGAGCGTGCCAGTTCACATGTTTGAGCTGTTCTCAATGCCAAGGATCTTGCCACGAAGTTCGTTTCAGGCGTGCCGGCCAGCGTTCGGCGATCATTCTGTTGTCAGCGCTGTTGCTGGGAAGTTCAGCCTGAGCGTGCCGGCTCACTTTTGGCTCGTAATTTGTTGCCTAAAAGGACTGGCTGCATGGGGTTGGCCAGAGGGCTGGCGACTGTAATTCTTCGATCGGCTGTTTTTCCATAAGACAGCACTCGGACCCAACACAGGAGGCCTCTGCCCAGGAAGGGGGCATCGCCGTCGTCTCCTCAGACGCCGATTCGAGGCTCGAGGATCCGAGATTATCTGTTGGTCTCTAGGCCTCCGCAGGGGCCCTCCTGGCGGCCTCGGCCGGAGTCCGCTCCAGAGTTCTGGCGGGAGCGCTCCCCAGGGGGAGGTCGGGGGATCCACTTTTGACCCCGAATGGGCCCGAATCAAGACGGCCGCTCTTCCGCCGCTCTGGGCCTTGCTATGAGGCTGGGAGGAGGAGGGGGAGGAGGGGGAGGAGGAGGAGGAGGAGGAGGAGGAGGAGGAGGGGGAGGAGGGGGGGGGGAAGGAAACAAGGAGGCGTAGGCGGGGGCGGAGGGGACTCGGGCGGCGAAGTCGGGGCATCGACTTTGGACCCCCCGAGCCTGGACGTCCACCTCGACCGATGCCAGCGTGCGCCCGGAGCAGGACGGCCGCTCTTCCGCCGCGGGCCCGGTGGCCCTGCCGCGAGGCCGGCCGTGGGCTCTGTGGCCCTGCGTGAGGGCGGCGGCTCGGAGCGACCCGTGGCGGGCCCTGTGGGTGAGTCGGGCCTGTCCCTCTGCAGGAGGAGCAGTCAAACATATTAAGACCAAATAGTATCGGGACGGTCTTCCCGTCTTGTTTTTTGCAACAAACAAGAAAAGCATATATTTTTCTTTGTTCGTCCAAAACCCGCCTGTCGGAGGACACGCCCGACCTAGCCCTATGGGGAGGCCCCACGGCCGAGAGCCGGGCCTGCCCCGCGGCGTGGGGCAGTCGAGCAGCGGCGAAGCGTCCTGGCTTGCCCGTGTAGGCCCACCAGAGAGTGTTCTAAGAACCTCTTGTGGCCTGCGCGAGAGGTTCTCGGAGCATTTCTGGCTGAGACTGTTTTGTATTGAGCACAACGGGTTTCTGTTCTAAGAACATTATCTTGTTCTTCGAGCATTTCTGGGTTCTGAGAACATGTCGTGGTAGGCCTCTAGGACTGCTGGGACGGTCGGTCCCTGCTCAAGGCCGGAGGAGGCTGGTCGGGACTAGCTTCGTCCTCAGCGACAGGGAATTTCGAGGTTCGAGGCTTTTGGACGCTTTCGTCGGCTCTCGGCGGCTCTCCAGCCTCGGGGATGCCTTCAGAGGCTGCGCCTCGCCGCGAGCGTTCCGGGGGTGCCCAGATGGCGCCGAGCGGCTGCCGGAGACCCGAGTTAAGACCCGAATCGGGCCTCAAGGGACCAGGGTCAATGCAAACGGGGGTCAGTCGGGGCGCAGGATCTTGCAGGAACCTGCAGAGCCAGGGGCGCACTGACCCAGGTTTGGGTGCCGGATCTTGCGGGAGCCTGCAGAGCCCGAAGGATCCAGGTTTGGATTCATCCGGGTCGCAGGTCCCCGAGTTGGGCATGCTGGGCTGACGGGGAAGGGGGGAAATAGGAGGTCACATGTGAACCCAACCCCACCACCACGATTTCTAAGGGGTGAGGTGGGGTTCGCTTCGCTCGGGAGGTCCCGAGCGCGTCGCCGCGCACGAGCACGCGGCGAAGAGCGCCGGACTCAGAATGGACCCCGCCCCCTCCCGGCGCGGCGCCAAGCAGTTGATTCTGCGAGTGGTGCCCCCCGCGTGCTGCGGGGGGGAAGGGCCCCGCACTCCCTGGCGGGCCTGGCGGGCCACAGCTCAAACACATCCTGGCCGCCAGATGCCTGAGTCGCGCGCGTGTTTCCGGGAGGAGGAGGAGGAGGAGGAGGAGGAGGAGGGGGAGGAGGAGGGAGAAGCCTCGCAGTTCGAAGACGTCCGGCCGCCAGAGGCCCGAGTCCCGCGCGCCCTCCGCTCCCGGCCTGGCGCTGCCACGTTGTCATCTTCGTCGTGGTCGCCGTCGTGCGTCCGTTGTCCGTCGTCGCCTTTGTCGTCCGTCGCCGTCGTACGTCCGTTGTTCGTCGTTGTCGTTGTCGTCCGTCGGTGTCGTGCGGCGTCGCGTGTCAGTCCGTCGTTGCCGTCGCTCTCAGCATCGTCGTTCCTGCCACTCGATAGTCTGGGCTCACGAGGGAGGGAGTAGCGAGGAAGGAGGCAGGAGTAGCTGGGGTGGAGGTGGATGGGGAGATAGGAGACAGGAAAGAGACGGCAGGAGGAGAAGGCGGAATGAGTTGGGGGGGAGGGGGCAAAGAGAATGAGGAGACATGATGGGAGTCAGAGGAAATCTATGAGGAGGTGGTAGGGGCGAGGAGGGAGGAGGAGCGGGAGAAGGAGGCGGATGAGGAGGTCCTCGTCCTTTCCCCCTGCATCTCTCCCACCTCTCCAGACCCCCGACGTCACGTCACGCGTTTTTGTTTCGCAGCTTGGACCCCTCGAGGTCTCGGCCCATGTACTGGGACTGGCTTCCCAGCCTGAGCCATTCTTTGCAAATCTGGCCCCAGGGCCTGACGAGGGCCCCCAGGAGCCGAACATAGCAAAGCAACAGCCCGTCGTGTTGTTGTTCATGACGCTGTTGTTCATAACGCGAGGGGGTCTGGGCCCTTTCCCCCCTCCTCCTCCTCCTCCTCCTCCTCCTCCTCCTCCTCCTCCTCCTCCTCCACCTGTGTCCTCGTCACCGGACAGCGCCGCCGCCGCTGTGCCGCCGCAGCGCCTTCGCCCCTTCCCCTTCCCCCCCCCCCCCGCGAGGCGCCCGCCCAGGGCGCCGCCTGCGCCGCAACGCTGAGACCAGCGGCCACCGCGACGAAGGCGGCGGTGGCGGCACCGAGGCGCCCCATCGTCGATGTCGCCGCTGCCGCTGCCGCTGCCGCCGTCGCCGCCGTCGCCGCCGCCGCCGCCGCGGTGGTCGTCGTCGTCGTCGCCGTCGCCGTCGCCGTCGCCGTCATCTTCGTCCACGTCGTCGGCGTCGGCGTCGGCGTCGGCGTCGGCGTCGGCGTCGGCGTCGTCGTCGTCGTCGTCGTCGTCGTGGTCGTCGTCCACGTCGTCCACGTCGTCCACGTCGTCGTCGTCGTCGTCGTCGTCGGCGGCGATCCTTTTTCGTCTCCCCTCCACGGGTGGATCCGCTTCGAGGAACGGCCCCGGGAGGGATCTTGGGACAGACCTTGAGCATTTCTGGCCTTCCCGGGCCTCCCGAGGCTGTGGTCGCGCTCCTCCTGTCCTCTCTCCTCTGCTGGGCTCGTGCCGGGTGGGCCCGGTGCCCCACGGCAGTGCTGGTCGCCTTCCTCGTGCTGAGGCGCGGCGGGCAGCGCAGAAGTGCTGCCCCCTCGGCTCCTCCGTGGCCGAGCTACAGTGGGGGGGGCCTATGCAAAGAAACAGCCTGCTTGCCTCCAGGATGCCCCGGGTTTCTTGGGTTTCGATGGTTTCGCTGTGGAAAGCGTGACGCTCCCACACCAAAAATCGATGGACGTCCTGGGTCTCAGGGATGTTTTTGTTTCGGAAGGCTTCTCGTGGTCGAGCCCCTACTGTACGGCATCAGACGGGCACAGCGTCTGCGCTGCTGCTGCTGCCGGCAAGATGGTTCAGGCGAGGCCAGGCTGGCGAGCCCGTGCGCTGCACCTTCCAGCCGCCATGAGCCTGCCCCCCTCGCGGGCCGCTCCATGCGTGGCGCCGCCCTCGGCGGCCGCTGGGACTACTCGACCAGCGCGTGCGCTGGGCACGGCTTCCACGGCGATTGGGCGGCGCCAAGACCTCCCCGTCGGATCTGGGCGTCGTGGGGAGGGACTCAGATCTCCGACGATGTGATTGCTTGATTCCTGGCACAGCTTAGGACCGGAATGGGCTCGATGTTCCTGAGGTCCCTCCTTGGCTGTTGCTCTGGCCCTTCTTGTGCAGCCAGGCTCGTCTGGTCCCAAGAAGGGGCGTCGTTCCTTATTCAGCGTTTCTTCTAGCAGCAGCCAGACTGTACTGCGCCCTGGAGCCACCAGAAGCTGATCCGGGGCAGATCGCTGCCACCGGGGAAGGAGTGCCAGGAGCTTTGGGGCAGCGCATCGAAATTATCCAGGCGAAGGACCCAGCCATGGGCAATTGTGAATACCGCAAGGCAGGTGGTACGAAGGAGGTGGAGCTCAATATGGGGCCACGAGACGTGTGAGGGTATGCCGGCACGGGTGGGGGGGCGTATTTGGACGCCGCCGCCAAGGCTTTCTGTGGAGTTCCCTATATGGGGCAGGCCGCGAAACGTTGTACTGGGTGGCGCGGGCGCATGTGATCACAGCCGCTGGGGCCGTCGCTGGAGCTCCATATGGGGCCACGATACTCAGAACAGGAAAAAACACAGACACAAAGGGTTTTATTGGTTTTACGCTGGAAGGGGGCGTCGTTGAGAGGGTACCTGGCACGGATGCGGGGATCGGGTTGGCGTCGGTGCTTGGAGCTGGCGGTTTGCGTGGCAAGTGCGTTTAGTTGGCCGCATTTGTTTGGAACGCGTGACGGGCGGAAAGGCCGATGACCAGCAACTGGCAGTCCTCTGCCCGCGTGCCAGAACATCTCGTCGCGCGCTCGCAACGTGGTGTGGGAAAAGGGGTCCGGGGAGAGAGCGCGAGTCTTCTTCCCAATAAGTCCCTTCGATAGGCAGCAAACAGCTCTTTTTCTATTCATATGCCGCACGGCCAACCGAACGAACGAACAGCTGTCTCGGCGCGCAGTGTTAGCTTCGCTTGCCCGCATCCTGGCTTCCTTCCGTTGCTTTCTTTGCTTCTTTCTCGCCCTCCTCTTTCTTTTCCTGTCACCCTCCTTTGCCTTGTCCCGCCCCCCTTCCTTCCCAGTTCAGAGCTGTCACCGCGCGTGATAATCGCAACCCCCAGGGCGTTGTTATAATTCTTCTGTGTGCCACAAAGTCTTGTGTAATTCCTTTGTGTGCGGTCTGGTTACATAGCCAACGCGGTGAGCACACAAAGGAATTTCCTTTGTGTACGATCGTTTTCGCCGGCCCCACAAGAGCACGCGCGATTCCTTTGTGTAGAGCTTGTTTTCCCGCCTCGAGGAGCGCGCGGGACCTGGCGCTATAAACGCAAGGCCGCGGCGCCTGGCAGTGCGATGCAGCTGCGCCAGATACCGCACCCAAAACGATCCCACGTGGATCTCGGCACTTATGCCTAAATCGCGCTGGCAGCTGGCCGGCCGCATCGCCGGCCCTGCATGCCTGCGCGCGCTACTGCGTTTTGCTGCCGCGACGCGTGCCGCTGTCAACGGATGAACAAACTGACGTTGCATGGTGGTTTGGCGGTGCCCAACCCCATGTAATGTCTGGTGGGAGAAGAGCTTGGGATCTTGTCGCCGCCGACAGCGCTGCCACAACAGACCTTTCAACTGCATCTTAAAGCACGGCCGTGCATTAACCCCGATTGAGATCGCCAAAATCCAGTGGCATGGGTGCACATGCGTTGCGCCGTTGATGGTGCCAAAACCCTTTGTGTGAAATTCCTTTGTGTGTGTGTGTTTTTTCTGGCTCCTAGATACGCTGTACCTGATGGCGCTGACGCATGTGATCACAGCCACCGGGGCCTTCGGTGGAGCTCCTTATAGGGCCACGAAACGCCGTGTTGGGTGGCGCGGGACGCATGTGATCACAGCCACTGGAACCTTCGGCTTTCGGTGGAGGTCAATATGGGGCCACGACACGCTGTACTCGGTGGCGCGGACGCATGCGATCACACCCGCACGAAATTCTGTACTGGGTGTCGCGGGCGCATGTGATCACAGCAAGCAGGGCCTTCGGTGGAACTCCCTGTGGGGCTACGACGCACCGTACTGGGTGGCGCGGGCGCATGTGATCACAGCCATTGGGGTATTCGGTGGAGTTACCAATGGAGCCACGACGCGCTGTGCTGGGTGGCGCACGCGCATGTGATCACATGTGATCACAGCCATCGGGGCCGTCGGTGGAGCTGCCTATGAGGCCACGAGGCGTTGTTCTGGGTGGCGCGGACGCATGTGATCACAACCACTGGGGCCGCCGGTGGAGCTCCGTTATGGGGCCACGAACCGCTGTGTTGGGTATCGCGGACGCATGTGATCACAGCATTTGGGGCCATCGGTGGAGCTCCCTGTGGGGCCGCGAGGCCTTGTATACTGGGACGCTGAAGTGGTGGACGCGCGGGGGGCAGAGGCAAGGGTGGGCGGAGGAGAGGGGTGAGGAGGAGGAGGAGGAGGAGGAGGAGGAAGAGGAGGAGGAGGAGGAGGAAAAGGGTAGGAAGAGGAGGAAGAGGAGGGAGGAGGAAAAGGAGGAGGAGGAGGAGGAGGAGGAGGAGGAAGAAGGGGAGGAGGAGGAGGAGGAGGAGGAGGAGGAGGAGGAGGAGGAGGAGGAAAAGGAGGAAAAGGAGGAAGAGAAGGAGGAGGAGGAGGATGAGGAGGAGGAGGACGCGAGGGCCTGCAGGTGTCCACAGCTGCGTACGGCAATTGGGGATCCTGGGAAGCAGGCGCGGCGCTAGTCGCTGCCGAATCCACCGTTAAGGGGGATCCCTGTACGGGGGGGTCGACCAGCCTTGAGGCGCCTCAGGCCCGCTGCGCGCGCTCTACTGGTATCCCAGGTGACGGGTCCAGTGCACGGGGCCAACAAAACTGGGGACTTGGCGGGTGGAAACGAGACAAAACACGAATGGACCTTCCGTGGCCAACCCATGGCCACGGCTGGCCACAACCTGGTCACCTGGCAACTCCAGGGGCCCAGGGGTCTTCGACGGGGCACCAACTGTACCGTGGGACACTGGCCTCTGGGGGCGGCCCTCCTCCGCCCCTCCGCCGAACCCAGGCCCACCTTGGCCCCCGCCCAGGACCCGCGACGAAACGGCAGCGCTCGGAGCCACAGGTCTATGCTTACTAGACACACTGGGCCCTCCCAGAGGGGGTCGACAGCCCCAGCTTCGACCCCCGCCCCCGAGGGGCCAACAGGCGTGTCGGCACCGCCGAGCGCGCCACGAATCCAGGGTCTCGCGTCCGAAGGATGGGCCGCGCGCCGCGCATGGGCCAAGGCAGTAGCAGGGCCCCCAGCGGGCCCACCTCGAGGAGACCGCGAGCGGGCGAGGGAATCCAGGTTCTCGCAGCCGCGGGCCGAGGATGACCAACTTCGGGTCGAGACGGCGCATCCCGCAGGACGCGATCCGCAGCGCGGAGGGCGACGGCGATGACATCCTCGCGCGCCGAAGGGAGCGGCGCCGCGGCAAACGAGGCGAGGTCGGAGGGAATGAGGCGGGTCCTCGCACGGGCCATGAGGGAGCGGAGTGTGGAGGGAACACATTCCTCCCTCTCGAGACGGCGCCTCGCTGCCGAAGTCGCGGCTGAGGCCGAGCAGGCTGTACATGCACAGCCCTCTGGCCGTCGAACGAGGCGGCGTCGGCGGCCGATCTCGGCGTTTGCCACCGGTGGCGGCGGGAGGCTCTGCCGACATGTGCGGCCCTGGGCCTCATCGGACAGGATGCCCGGCGCGGCCATGTACCACGCCAGCACAAAGACCCCCCCACGGCGTCGGAGGTCCTCAAGCACAGAGCCGTACCTTTTGGCCATCGCTACTCCCCATCAGCTCGGAAGTCTAGCTCGGTTCAGAAGTTTCAACCGCAAATGCGGCGCGTGGTCTCTCTTGGACGAGACCCCGAGGCCCGAAAAGGCGAGGAAAGCAAAGCAGACGCATCAACGTGGGCACGCTGTCCGCTCGTCCCGCCTTTGCAGGGACGCAGTCGGCAGCGACGTGCCACCGCCACCCCTGCGGCGGCGCACGGCTGCGCTCAGGAACCGGAAAAAAAACTACCATGGACTCCAGCCTGGGAGCGACGCCGGTGAATGCAACAGCCAAGGAAGAAGACGAGGAGGAGGAGGAGGAGGAGCGCTACGTGCCGGCAAGTGCAGCTTGCGGCATCGGTTGCGACAAAGCCCGCCTATTCTTAGCAACAGCTCAGCGTTGCGACACTTCGGCCGCATTTCACAAAGCCACGGCCGCCGTTACGACAGGATCTGTCATTTTCCCTGCTGGCGGCATCCGTTACTACAGAAACCACGTATTCTTGCTCCGGGGGGAGGGGAGATGGAGGAGGGAGGACTGCACGAACAAAAGCTCCGCGCTGGCTGTCAGCTGCATCCCCGTCACCGGCAAGGGCTCCCCACCCTTGCCCCCGTGCCGCCATGGCCCCAACTCTGCTCCGTGGTGGAACTACCTGCTCACTTCTTCTTGGGTTTCTTACTCGACCCTTGGCTGGACGAACCTCCGCGGAATACCATCGCCTCGATCTCCTTGGCGACTTTCGCCCGCGGAGCGTGGTCGTAGTCCAGGGTGAGGCTGGCCGCCTTCATGCAACCGTTCTCCCGTAGCACGAAGAAGCTGGTCATGAGCTCCTGCATGCTGTTCGCCGCGAAGATCCACTTGTGAATTTCCTTGTCGTTCTCCTTGGTCTCGATGCGGAAGCACCTGGTGGCTGGGAAGCGCGCCTCCATGTTCTTCGCCGCCTGGGCGAAGCGACCGAGCGCGTCGAGGGCCTGGCGTGCCTCCTCCGCTCGATGGCCCTGAGCGGCTGCCGCGAGTACCTCCTCCTTGTTCTTCTGGTACAACGCATTCACGAAGTGGATGAGCGACCGGAGATAAGCATCGGGTTTCTTGCCCAAGGGATTGCCCTTGTACTGCTGCCCCTGGTCCTTGGCCTGCTCCCGGGCCACCTTCCCCTTGGACGCGTACTCGTCCA